GGACTTGGGGTTTGCCTATAAATACCCCATGCCCTCTTCATTTGTAATCCATCCAAGCTTTGAGTAGAGTTCTCAAGCATTCCTTAAGCTCTCTTGTGCCTTCATCGTTCTTTCACTTTCAACCTTTCTTAAGTTTTTCTTTGCCTCTGTTCTTTAAAGCCTTAGCTAGTTTTGCACGCTTTGGGGGTCTTAAGGCTGAGCTAGCATTTGATCGTTAGTTGTTTTGTGCTAGTGCCGCACGGCCGTTACTTTGAAAAAGTAAGCCCGTGACAGTTGGTATCAGAGCCTCGGCTCGATACTTGGTGTGCTACATCGTCTACACTTCCGTTTGTTGGTTTTCTTTCGTGCATAAGCTATGTCCAATCCTTCGGAGGTCGTTGGTGCTTGCCGAGTTCACCAAAAAAAAAGATAAATATTACTAGCTTGGATTATGAGCTTTGTAGATAATGGAAGCTAGGTCGATCCCACGAGGACAGCTAATTACCAAATTTGTTGTAAAGAAAAACTGTCAGTCAACAAGGTGTCACTCAGGAGAATGGGAACAGTCACTCAGGGGAATGGAGGCCAGGGTTGTTCTTCTCCTCTTCCTGCTGTTGTAGTTGTTTTATTAGCACAGTAATGGTTGAGTTTTTGTTCATTCGGCTCACTTATAACTCTAAGTCAGTTCCCATTTTTCATAGAGTCATCTTTGCAACCTTAACAACCTATTTTCCAATGATTGATTCCAGCTACAAAGTCATTAAGTTCTTAGGCCTTCAAGAATGCTTATGTTAACTAAGTATATTCCTATCTTAGTTAAAACCATAGACTGTTACCTCTATGTCATAAGTTAAAGTTGAAACAATCCAAACCAAGTTTATCCTTCCGATCTCCCTTAGTTCTAGCATGCATTCAATTTAGTGATCAAGTAAATGAATGTAGAAAACTTTCAACCATAAAACAAGGAACAAAACCAAGTGCTTTGACAACTACAACATCGGTTGAGGAGAATAACCCCGGGAACCGTTTAGCTACTCATACATTAATGCTACATCTACTATATCGAAAGACATCATAGAAGTATGCATAGTAAACAAAATTCAAGCTAACAATCAAGAGATGAGGAGAAAGCTTGTGCAGCTTCGAGTCACTCCCGGGAGTGAAGGGGTTCATTCATGGAATCAAGAAGAAACTGGGTTGCTATTCTTCAACTTAGCTTCCTCACCGAGTTGTTGCTGCTTCTTCTTATTTCTTGTCTTCTACCCGGAGTTTTTCCGAGTGTTTTTGCAACCGAAAAGCTAACCGAGACCGAGAGATTCCTCCCATTGAGAGTGCAGTTCCTCTCTTATAGGGCCTTGCAGCCGGTGTCTTCATCATGAGAACCTCCCCATGCTTGGAGTTGTTTAATCCTCCCAATGTCTTGAGCCTGCAATCCAACTTGGCCGTTCCTTTTCTCTCTTCCAGCAACAGCCGTTTTGCTCTCATTGATCAGCAGTGGTGGCTGGGATTGCGACTGGGGGACAAGCATGCCTCTAGGAGGAGGCAAGGTCATTAATGACAAGATGCTTCTTGTCTAAGGGCCTTCTTCTTCGTCGAGCTCAGCACCCTTGCCTCAGCAGTCCTTAAATTGCTCCTTTGGCTTCCAATTTTCAGCAATTATTCAGTCCGATCCTTTCCTAACAATAACATGAAAATGAGCTAAGTAAATTGCACCAATGTTAGGAAATACCCCCAATTGTTCATCAAATACAAAGTTAAGTGTGATGCTTTTATGTAACAATTTAACCATTATCAGTCGTTCAAGGGTCGGAGCTTGAGGGGGATCACGCTTCCCACGAGGTGGGGAGGACCACCCGCAAAGAAAGCCACAAGGAGAAGTCGGTCGTTAGGGAGCCGATGGTGGAATTCGAGAAACGGCTTGCCAAGCTAGAGCTTGCTGTGGCCGACCACCAAGACCATTGGGACGAGCACCCTGAAGTGGTAGCGGGGGTCGTCGAAGCTCGCATAGAGCGATTCGCAGGAGAATTGCAAGAGGTCATACAGCAAATGAAGGACGACATGCTAGAGACGCTCAACGAAATGGTGGAACGTTGCAACAAGTCGAAGGAGGAAAGCCTTGCTCGTGTTGCTGCCCTCCAAGACGACGTCAGCCGGCTTATGGGGGAGCTGGAGACTTCTCGGGCAGAATCGAAGCGTCTTAAGGCACGGCTTGACGCCGTGGCCGTGCAAGGGACAACTGGAGCCGTGGGGACGATTCCAAGGCTTGAAGCGCCTAAGCCTGACGAATACAAGGGCAGCCGTCGCTTGAGGGACGTAGAGAACTTTCTCTAAAGTATGGAACGGTACTTTGGGGCTATGAATATCATGGACGACTTGGTAAGACTCTTCCAAGCCTCTCTTTATCTTAAAGATAGTGCTTTATCATGGTGGAAACGTATGATGAAACCCGTGGGGGACGGAGACCCGGTCTTCACCACGTGGGATGGTTTTAAGGAAGAGTTTAGAAAGTATTTCCTACCCGTGGATGCGGAAGACGAAGCCCGGGCCAAGCTTCATCGTCTGCACCATAGGGAAAGCCAAATCCGGGAATACGTTAAGGAATTTTCGGACTTGATGCTTGAAATTCCGGATCTCTCGCCCAAGGAGGCGTTCTTTACTTTCATGGACGGTCTCAACCATTGGGCCAAACTTGAGCTACAACGGAGAGAAGTTTAGGACATCGATCGGGCGTTAAAGGTGGCCGAGTCGCTTGTTGAGTTCCAAAAGAAGGATAGCTCCAAGGATAAGGGCAAGAAGTCGTTCCAAGGCAAAGGTGGGGGAGACAAAGTGAAGTCTTCCAGACCCGCGAAACCGGCAGCCGACTCCACAAAGCCGTCTTCAAGCAAGGAGACCAAGGGGGACAAGCAAAAGAAGTTTCAAGGGTGCTTCTTGTGCGAGGGAGCGCACATGGCACGCGATTGCCCGTCTCGTTCGAAGTTGGCAGCATTGGCGCAAGTTTTGTGCCAAGAAGAGGAGAAACGGGTCGCTTGCATGAAACGGCTAGACGCCGTGCATGCCAAGGCCGAGACACGTCAAGGCCGTCTTTACATGGAGGCATCGTTCGCAAACGGGTCTAGATGGGGCATGCTAGACACCGGGGCCGACACGAGTTATCTCACGGAAGAGGTAGCCCATTCGCTTGGAGTCAATTGGACACCTAGCAAAGGCCGTTTCAAGGGCGTGAACGGCGAATGGACGGGTCTTGTAGGCGAAGCCAGGGACGTGCCTCTTAAAATCGGCAACTGGCCAGGTACGGCTAATTTCTCCATTGCCCCTATGGACGATTACGGTCTTGTGTTTGGCATGGAGTTTTTAGACCAGGTTAAGCCAATCATCATGCCTAGCAATGACACGATGGTAATCCTCCAAGGCAAGAAGCCTTGTGTGGTAAAGTTTAGACGGGAGAATGAGATTAGCCCTTCCCAGCTGAACAAGGGGCTAAAACGGGATGAACACACCTTTGCTGCCATGGTGTTTGAGGAGGAACCATGCACAGAGGAGCCGGCAAAGGAGGAAAGAATCCCGCCTCCCATAGAGCGAGTCCTTGTTGAGTTCAAGGATGTGATGCCCGACGATTTGCCCAAAGGTCTTCCACCAAGGAGGGAGGTTGATCATGCCATCGAGTTGGTGGACGGGGCGAAACCGATAGCCAAGGTGCCTTATTGTATGTCCCCTAGCGAGCTAGAGGAGCTCAAGGTGCAAATCAAGGAGCTACTTGAATCGGGTCATGCAAGGCCGTCTAAAAGTCCGTGGGGTTCGCCGGCCTTGTTCCAACGCAAGAAAGATGGGACGCTACGTTTGTGCATCGACTATCGGGCGTTAAACAAGCTAACCGTAAAGAACAAGTACCCTATCCCACTTATAGGGGACTTGTTCGACCAGCTACAACGGGCACGGATCTTTTCCAAGCTGGACTTGCGGAAGGGATACTACCAAGTACGCATAGCACCCGGTGATGAACTGAAAACGGCCATGGTGACGAGGTATGGCTCTTATGAGTTTCTTGTTATGCCGTTCGGTTTAACTAACGCCCCAGCCACATTTTGCACTTTGATGCAACGCGTGCTAGCCGATTTCATTGATAAGTTCGTTGTAGTATACTTCACTACAAGAAAAATGGCTTTTGGCGACACACAATGTATGCCGCGAAAAGTAGCAAAAGTGCCGCGAATAACATATTGCGACAGAAATTACGGCATATCACAAAGTGACGCGATAAGTGCGGTCGCAAATATTTGCGACACTTAAAAACAAGTGTGTCACGACATATGCGACACTTATGCGTCAATATAAACACGTCGCATTAAATTCGCGACACATCTTGTGTCGTTTTTTATTCCATGTCGCGATATGATTGCGACATTTTGTTTGCGTCGATTGAGTACTGACGCTTATTGATGCGACATATTTAGCGTCACCTTTTGAATGTGCATCAAAGTTCCGCGACGCAAATTTGAAAAAGTCACATAATTTTAGTGACACAACTCTTTAAATGTTGCATGTTTACTGCGGCAAAATATTTATGTTAGTAACTAAAGTGCCACAGAAAATAATTTGCGACACAAGTTTTGATGTCATAATTAGATGTCATGCGGCACAAAAAATATGTCGCATTTTTTGAGGCATTATTTGGGGTATTGTTTTGCATATCTTTTATTATTTTATGCTGATATATAATGTATTGTACAACTATTTTTTTGAATTGCATTACAACCCTTATTTTGGAATAGCATTTATTTTTTACAACATTTAAAGTGTTTGTGGAACCCAATAAAAATAAGCATAATATTATTGTCGAATCAATTTTTAAGAGCAAAATAGAAATTCGCTAAAAGAAAAAAAGATTAGCATCCCATACAAACTTAAATGGAAAGCAACTAAGTCCATAAAAATTAAAATCCCACAAAAAGTACATATCGTCATTACAAAATGTTCTTTCAATTCAAACATAGAAAACTAGCAGATTTTTGAAAGCTTCATCATCATGTAACCTTTTGAATTTCCTGCAAAAACAAACCAAAAAAATGAGAGAAAAACAAACTAATTTGTATTTATCACAAAATCGCATGCTTGTTTTTGTTTTTGTTCGGCAAGAAATTAATAGTAGTTACCTTATCATGTAGCTAGGCGCTTGGAGACCCTTCTAGCTTTCTTACGTTCCTATTAAATTTCAAAAATATGAGCTCATTTAGACACATATAATGATGAAAAACTTGAAAAACAAAAATTGTTTCCGAAAAGCTAAAAATGTATGTTACCTTAGTGGAAGTAGCATCCGAACAAATCAATGGAGGATTATCATCTTTAGATTGATTTATCTCTTTGCTCACCTAATCAAAAGATAAAAAAAATGTAATGAAGAATAAAATAATTTATAATTGATTTATAATTGAATGTAATACAACTTTTCATTAACGTACCTTAGTAGATTGATTTGTTTGGCCATTATTTGATGAGTTTCCTAATCCATGCAAAGGTTCATTCAAAGCAATTTGGTGCTGGGAATTAGAAGACTCTTGTACCTAAGACATTTTTATGTCGCAAAGGTAAATACAATATAATTTTTCTTGTAATAATTTTTGTAAAGTGAACTCAAACCTGGGTATTTGGACTGCCAAAGCTAGAAGATTGATCCTGCATCATTGTTTTCATTTCGGCAAGCCAATCATCTTTCATTTTGGATAATCTTTCATCCATCTCATTATGCAATTTAATCTCCAAATTGTGTTGAATGCTTGCAACTCTCTCATCAACTGCTCGATCAAATTCTTGTTGAGAGGTGAACACTTTCTTACTTTTTGAAACAATCTTACAGCTGCGTAGGCATCCTGGAGCATCTTTTCTAATGACGTCTTCAAAAATTTTATTATTAGCCTCAATATCATCTTGCAACTCAGGTGGCAATTGTTGCTTCAACGCCTTTAAGGTGGCCTGATATTTCATAAAGATATAAAACAAAATTATGTAAGAAACGGTAATAATTATGAAAAAGATTGAGAATAATGAATAAGTATGGAGCATTTCATTGGTTAATTACTTCTACTTCAGATACTTACTATTTTTTGAGAAGTAAACTCGTCCAATGGTTGTCCTTTTTTTCCTTCTCTTGATTGGATGAATACGTCTATCGTGGATGGTTTTTTCCCATTATTTTGACAAATCTAACAATGAATTCAGATTAAAAGCAAGTTAAGAAAGTATCATAACCAAAAATTAACTTTAATAATAGAAGTATGGAAAGATCATACCTGATTTTGAAGATTATAGGTATCCGTTCTCCCCTGTCTATGTGGCATTTGCAAGTCTTTCCGGTTCCTTTTATTTCTATTGCTAATTTTCTACAATTCAATAAAACAAGAGGATGAAGTTTATGTATATAGTTCCCAGATTCAATATAAATCTACATATATATAAAAACATGAAAAATTCAGTACGTCATACTAACCCTTGCTCTCTTGGAAAGCCAATAGTTAACCAATGCAGGCCATTGATCCTCTTCAATTCTTCCTGGACGATTAGCTAGTAAGTAGGTTTTGTCTCGCCTGTGTGGGCGAAAGTACTTTTCTTTTGTTCTCATTTTAAAATCCTTCCAAAGCTTGCCAACCCTCCGCAAACATGTCTTCTTATAAACATCGGTAAGATTTGTGTTCTCCTAGAATGACAACATTACATTTACCATAAAATTGTAATTAAATATAATGGAAGATATATACATCAAAGTTATATATTGATCTCGAAGTCATATATAGATAAACAAATGCTTGAAAATGGCCACATTACTTAAGAATTTAAAACAAAGTAACTTAAATCCGACATAATACCTTCACTTCAGCCCACACATCATCTTTCATTGGCTTAGGCAATGCACGCCAATCTGTGTAAATGAGGGTAACTTGTTTCCTTCTTTAGCTAAAACCCCCAATTGAGTCGCAAATTCAGCAGCCATGCTTCCAACCACTTGGTTATCATCATTAAGTTCCAATATCATTTTCTCACCGGTTCCCCATCGAAATCCCTGCCTTGTTGGACCTCTTCCAATTGTATCTATCAATCATATAAAATACATCTAAGAAAACATATATATAGGTGTATAAAATATTAACTATTTTTAATATACAACGAACATAACGTTTTTGGGAGAGATAGTATTTTTCAAATTTATTTAGAAACACATACCTTCTTCTAGTGGATCATTGTTGTTAGCATTTTGCTCATCATCACTATCATCTTCAAATGATTCAGAGGTGTGCAAAGATTCAGAATCAGTAGATGAAGAAGAATTGAGAGAGTTAGAACAATTGGAGTTATTTTCTTGGTTATGAGATCTACTTGTTGCTGGCTCATTTAATAGATCAAGCATTGATCCAATTGCACATTGAGATTTCTTTCTGGATGACACCATTTTGACTGCAAATAATAGAACGGATATTTTAAATCATACACCAAAATAAGCAAATATTTATCAACTATAAAAAAAAATTACCACAAAACATAATTGTACTATATTGGTTTCCCAATGATGTAAAATGCCTAACTCATTGAGCAACTTGCATCCACGTGGGTAGCAGACTCTATACATTCTCATGAGTAAAAGAACCCAGCAGGCAAAATCCAGGTAGAGATGGCTAAAGTTTAAAACAACAATAGCTAAAGTTTCACTTGTATTGTGAATTTCGTATGTCAACACCTTGTGACGATTTATGCTTGCTAGTAAAAAAAAAAATCAATTTTCAATAACAAGGAAGCAAATAGGACATATGATAATATCCAAAAGTCACAAACCACAATGATTATACAACCCTAAAACAAGTATTGAAAAAGAACATGAAAATTCGGATCTCTACATATATAAATCAATACGATTACCTTACACGAACAGAAAAATTTTTCCCCAAATAGATCGGAGCACTCTTTCCCGGAGTCAGAAAACTTAGAATGGCATGGATACACTTGTAGAAATAATTCCCTGGAACAATCAAATGAAGAAAGGATCTTTGTACTTTAAAATATATAGATGAGAAGTATAAAGTAGAAAATCCCCCGTGATAATTTTCTTGTATTCCCACTTATTGATTTGTCTTGTTAATTTCCTTCATTACACTAATATCGATCTTTCTTAAAGCTGGTGGGTGAGTTTTTTAACCAGTGAAATTAATATTGAATGCTTTGTAGGCGCCTTGTCTCTTTGATATGAGTGCTTATAATGAATTGGAAGTTCAAGCAAAGTAATAGTTGTCTTGTAATTCGAAGGAAATATTAATAGATTTAGCGGGAAAGCTAAGCGGGAATGTAGACAAAAAAGAATTGAATTAAAATCCTTTGACTTGTTAATTACTTGGCTACAATTATTGAGTCCCGCAGTTGCATACTACACTTTTCATATATTTCTTTATTGAATGAAAAATCACTCTACATTTGTCAAAACTTAACTAATTTCAAGGGCGGTCCAACTTGTTTTTATGACAATTTGAAATGTGGCGAACAAGTCCCTTATTTTAATTATTTGACAATAGTAACTAATTGATGATTATTAACAAAAGTAACTATCCACCGTCAAATATAATTTCAAATACATTGTTGACAATAGTAATTATCCATTGCTAGTAACTTGCATATCCTAACTATAAATTGTCTTTATTTTTAGTTTTTCTTTAATCATATAAAGACTGTCAGCATATCTTTGATGTACTAGACGCGTATTATCTGTCGGTAAATCTTGATCTAGTAGGCGTTAGTATTCTCAATAGATCTCATTCTATTGATCGTTATTTAGTTCCTTTTTGATTGTGTGTGATCTTTAGTTTATAGTTTTGTCCATGATTGTATTGTTGTGGTTCATAGTCATGGTTTATGTTTAAGAATATGAAATCAAAGTAGATCTATATTTTAGATATGCTTTTTGGAGCCTTCATCTGATGATAAATGAAGCATTCGAGATCGGATTTTTCTTTGGTACGTGATGCTTCCAATAAATATTTGCGGATGCTATGGAAAAGTTAGTGATTTGATCGTCTGCAGTAAAGATGATCGTTGATTCTTGGATATAGAATTTTACTTGATCGTAGTATGTTAGTGATTGTAATTCTCTATCAATCCTGGTTAGACGTTTTCCAACAAAGTTAATAGAAGTTTCTTTTATCTAAAAATTACTCCCTTGTCCCAAAAATTACTATCTCAAAATCGTTGTTAGTAATTATTATTATTATTTTCTTACTACCCCTGTCCCAAAATTACTATTCAGTTTGGATTTCACTTTTAATTCAATTTGTACTAAAACTGAAAATCCAAACTTAAAAATAATTTTTGAAAATCCAGACTATACAAAAGGAGTAATAAGTATTAATAATTCACAGTCTAAGAAATATTTGTACTTTGTAGTTATTATTTTAATTTTTTTTATTTGAAGTAATTATTAATTATGGTCTTATCGAAAGTCTAGGACTATCAAAATAAATTAGGTTCAAGTTGACGGATTGGGTTGATGTTTTTTTTTTTACCTTACGCGAAGCCTAAAAGGTTTAATTATATCTAAGTGAAGATCTTTATTCCTTACTTCACCTTTTCATTAATTAGATTATAGTAAATGTGTAATTTAACATTTATCTTGGTATGAAAAAATTAGAATCTGTTTGATTAAAAAAAAATTTACTCCAGTGAAACACCATAATCACTAAGTGTTGTTCAATTCCCCTCCGTTTGAAATTTTAAAAGACAAGAAAATAAAAGTGTTTTTAAGTTTTATTCCCTTCATTTAAAAAAGGAAACATGACAAAAAGTAAAAAAATATATAAAAAGAGAGTAGTATTCATATCTCAAATATAGCCAAATTAATGAGGGATCATCACATCAAAATACAACACCCAAATTATTAGAGATAATGGCAAATCTTTCTTTCCCCTGTCCCTCGAGTATTTTTTTAAAGCTATTTGGAAAAATGAAGAAAAAGAAAGAGAACACACATAAAAGAAAGATTGATTGCAGGAGACATTATATAAAATGGGGATCATTATGGTTCACGGTTATTAAGAAATACAAAATAAGAAATAAAAAATAATACTAAAGGAAAGTAAATGCCCCAAATTATCATTTGTCCACTCACATATTCTCTTCCTCTTTTTCTTTTTCTTTTTTTTTTCCCCTTTTACTAACACCTACAAACTAAAAAGACGCACTAAACACCACCCCAACATCAAAACTGGTTTTCTCCGAAACCCGCTCACCTCACCGAAGCTCAACCGATCCAAATTAAACCCGTCGACGCGCGACCACCGCCCGTCACCTGCCCACCCGCCGGTTTCCATCTTTCATCTCACCATAATTGATGTTCTAACCCGTAATCCATTGTATTTGGTAAATAATTTGCTGGCTCGATGAATTGTTACGACGCAAAGAAGGTAATCCGATCCATTTCTTTTGCATGCTTGCCAATTTATCAAATCCACTTGATATAATTGTTTGAGGGGTGATTTTTACTTGAATGGAGTCTTTTGATTAGAAAAATTACATCATAATCATTTTCGAATTTACTTGAATGGGCACACCATTTGCTGCAATCTTTCAATTTTTATTCGGAAAATAGGAAGCAAAGGTATCATTTTTCTTACAGTACAGTAAAGCAACGCTGATATCTTAAACCACTTTCGGTTATGTAGCCCCTTCCTTCACATTTTGTGCATTTCAAGTACTTATTTCCCCTCATGTTTGGGGAGTCATGGCTATTAATTTTCTGCAGCTTAGATGAGGCACTACTTCGATATAAATTGAGTTTATTGATTGATTTTTTGTATTTTTCTGAACTAGAATGTGTGTTTAGTCTCTTTGATTTTTTAACCTTTTTATTTGCGCTTTTGGGTCTGAAGGCTATTTTGGTTTGCCCAAACTTTTATAATCTCAAAGCATTTAGTTGACATTGTAGTTGATTCATTCTAATTATTCTGAAGACTCTCTAAAGTATTATGTTTTTTATGCATATATACAGATTGATAAATCCTGGATTCATATAAAAGTAGCACGAGTGACTAATGAGGCTTTTAGACGGGGTGTAGAAGAATTTCTTGACTTTGCCTACAAAAACAAGCAAGCAAATTCGAAAATAAAGTGTCCATGCAGAAAGTGTCGGAACTCCAAAAGCCTGTCGAGGGATGATGTCCACTTGCACATTCTGAGGTATGGTTTTTTTGAAAGTTATTCTAATTGGGTTCATCATGGGGAAAAGAATAAGTACAGTCAGCAACATTTGGATACTGTTTTTGAAGAAAGAATAGAGAATGATGATCTGCAAGGTTTGATACATGAGGGACTCGGGACTTCATATTCCCATATTGGAGCTCATCAAAATTTCAATGGTGCTAGTCCAGATAGAGAAGCTGAACAGTTTGACAAACAATTTGATGAGGGTACAGAAAAGTTTTTAAACTATTAGAACATGCCGAGGCTGAGTTGTTTCCTGGTGTAAAAGTTTCACTCTTTTGTCTTTCATTGTTCGCTTGTTGCATGTGAAATCACTTTGCCGATGGAGTAACAATTCTTTCACAATGTTGTTAGAGATCCTAAAAGAGGCATTCCAAAGTGAGTTATTTCCAGGTTCTTACCACGAAGCTTGGAAACTTGTCAAGGATTTGGGTTTAGATTATAAAAAGATTCATGCTTGTCCTAATGATTGTATGCTTTATTGGAAAGAGGCAGAAAATGATGACAAATGCAAGCATTGTAAGACTTCTAGATATAAGCACTTCAATGGGCAAAATGAGGATTTATGTAAAAGTGAACAAAAGATTCCAGCAAAGGTTGTTCGCTACTTTTCTTTAATACCAAGGCTTCAAAGATTTTTTATGTCTTCAAAAACTGCTTCTTTGATGAGATGGCATGCAGAAGAACGCATTGATGATGGAAAACTTTGGCATCAAGCTGACTCTCGAGCATGGAAAAGTTTTGATGAAAAGAACCCAAGTTTTGCGGCTGATTGTCGCAATGTACGACTAGGACTTGCTGCTGATGGGTTCAACCCATTCAAATCAATGAGTATTGCTCATAGCACTTGGGCGGTTGTTCTGATTCCCTATAATCTTCCACCATGGCAATGTATGAAACAACCTTCATTCATATTATCCACACTCATTGATGGTCCTCGAGCTCCCGGAAACGACATTGATGTGTATTTGCAGCCGCTCATTGATGAACTTCAAGAATTATGGAGTCCTGGGGTTCCAACATATGATGCAATAGAAAAATGCATGTTTCAGCTACGCGCAGCACCACTTTGGACAATAAATGACTTTCCAGCTTATGGAAACCTTTCTGGTTGGAGTACAAAAGGTGTGTATGCATGTCCTTGTTGCAATAAAAATCCACAGTCTCGTTGGTTGAAAAATGGGAACAAACATTGTTATATTGGTCATCGTCGTTTTCTTCCAATCAAGCACAAGTATCGCAAAGATTTACTGCATTTTGATGGCTCGTGGAGAAATCTCCTAAGCCGCAAAGATTATCCGCTCGAAATTTTGGAGCAGTTAGATGGGATGGTGAATATATTTGGAAAATTACCATCAACTGTTGGGGGAAAAGGAGAAAGAGAGTGAAAGTGCATGGTGATGCAACATCAATAAGTCGGTATAATTGGAAGAAGTTGAGCATATTCTTTCAATTACCTTATTGGCAAGAAAACATTATCCACCACAATCTTGATATTATGCACATTGAGAAAAACTTTTGGAAAATCTCTTGTGGACATTGCTTGGTGTCAAAGGTAAAACCAAGGATAATGTTAAGTCACGATTGGATCTTCAAGAATTTGGGATTAGAAAAGCACTTCATCCTCGGAGGAAAGGAGATAAGTTTTATCTCGCCTCACTTCTTTCACCATGAGTAAAGATGAGAAAGATGTGTTTTTGAAAGTATTAAAGAATGTAAAGGTCCCTGATGGGTATGCTTCTAATATCTCAAATTGTGTTAATCTTGAGGAGCGAAATACCTCTGGTTTGAAGAGTCATGATTGTCATATATTGATGCAACAGTTGTTACCAATTGCTTTGAGGAGATCGGTGCCTAAACATGTTTGCGTGCCATAGTTAATTTGTGTGATATTTTTAAACAGTTGTACTCGAAAGTTCACTCTGTGTCTGATTTTGAATGTTTGGAGGATCGAATTGCATTAGCACTTTGTGAATTAGAGAAGATATTTCCGCCTTCATTTTTTGACGTTATGGAGCATTTGCCTGTTCACTTAGCTGAAGAAGCTAAATTTGCTGGTCCTGTTCATTTTCATTCTATGTACCCTATAGAGAGGTATCTTATCTCATTATCTATATTTTATAAATTCACTTTTGATTAACTGTAACTTGTGAATAAATAGCAATTCGTTTTTCAGGTACCTATGCACATTGAAAAGTTACGTCCGAACCCGAAGTCACCCAGAAGGATCTATAGCTGAGGGTTATCTTGCCGAAGAATGCATGACATTTTGCTCAATGTACTTGAAGGACGTGGAATCAAAATTGAATAGAACAAGCAGAAACTTTGAAGGTGTCAAAGGTTCAAATTCAGGAAGCGGTCGTCCCATTGGGAAAGAAGAAGTTATTTACCTTGGTGATATTGAGTGGATCCAAGCTCATAGATATGTGATCAATAGTTTATCAATTGTTGACGACTATAAAAAGTAAGTATAAATTGTTTTGTTTTAATAAGTGTTAAATTTTTCATTATGTTAAATCAATTAATTGTATTGTTTCAGGGAACACTTGCATGTACTTAAGCATGAAAATCCACGCATGTCAAGTTACAATATGGAGAAAATTCACAGTGAAACTTTTAATGATTGGTTTAAAGCTAAAGTAAGTTAATACTTAATTCTTATATAAATTTGTAATTATTATGTAACATAGTTTTTATATCTAATGTCTAATCATGTTTTTCTATTTTGCTTTAATTTGATAGGTTAGGGAACTGGAGCAAGCAAATGGTTGTGATAGTATTCATGAAGACATTCGTCACTTGGCTGTTGGTCCAAGTAGATGGGCTAGACGATATTCCGGGTATGTCGTAAATGGCTTAAGGTTTCACACTAAACAACGTGAGATGAGAAGGAAAACTCAAAATAGTGGAGTATTTGTAAGTGCAACCACAAGTAGCTTTTCAAGTACTAAGGATAAAAATCCTATTTCTGGAGAAGTATCATTTTACGGTGTTTTGAAGGATATCATTGAACTAAGATACACTAGCCATCTTAAGTTTGTGTTGTTCAAGTGTGATTGGGTAGACTACAATATTGGATTGCGGCATGATGAGTTCAATTTCACATTAGTCAATTTTAACCATTTGTTGTATAAGCAGAATAGAAAAACTGATGAGCCGTTCATTCTAGCTTCTCAAGCCCAACAAGCTTGGTACATTGAAGATCCACATAATCCAAATTGGTTTGTGGCTTTGAAAATGAATCCTCGAACTTTGTTTAATGTAGATCCTGAAGTTAATTTTGTTAGCGAAATCAAGATGATAGTTACATACAACAACCTAATGATGTGGATATTGTACATAATGACACATCGTGGGCTAGAGCAGATGTTGAAGGTGTCACACTTGACCCACCAAGTCCCAAGGCTAAAAGGAGTCGCCGCTTTGGTGAAGTTGACCCTAATGATTTAAGCTCAAGTGACGAAGAAATAATGTACGCTAGCGATGGATCTGATGCTCCAAGTGATGATGATGACTTTTTTGAACAAAGAAATGTGGCAAATGAGGATAGCGAGGCTTAATAAGAAGGTTTGTACTTTATTTCTTGCTTAACTTTTAACTTGATTTTTGCTTCTGTTTTTCTTACATGTTTAGTCGTTCGAATGTATTAGATTGTGAAGATTAGATTTTATGGTTTCCATTCTTGATTGCCTCCTCTCAATAAAAATCTTGTTAGGAGCAGTGAACCTAACATATGATGCAACTGCAACCTTGGTTTTTTGTTACTTTTTCACATTATGCTTGAGATTTCACATATGCGAACTTGAGCTGCACTCAAATTCCATGGAACTGGCAAATTTAAATTCAACTCTACTGCATATTGGCTGCCATGTGTATTGCCTTTTTTTTATGTGCTTGTCAAGCTAGGCTCATTAGTTTCAATCATTTTTTAGAGTTTCCTGAATCGGAAAACTGTGGTGCTAAGTTGTAACCTTGTTCTTCAAGAATTACTCTTCATGTAGGCAAAAAGGTAAGAGTACGGCATAATAAGTGGATAAAACAATACAATGAAAATGTAGCAGTTACTTATTGCTCTGTGGATAAATTTGAAATTTTTCCTACTCTATTGCATGAATCGTGGTGTTTGTATGTCACTTTTGTTGTAGCATACATCGATGTGGGATCATATTTTACCGTTCTAAACTGAACTACTTTGGTTAATGATGGGTCTGATTTCGCCTTAGGTGCAGCGTCGAGGCAGCTTCCTGAATGGAATATGCATTGCCGACGTTAATGAATGGAAGATAAAGAGTATCGGATTGTATTGATGCCATTTGGGATGACACCAGTTCTATGTATAAATGACCAACACTAGAGAAGTGCTAAACTCGTGGTCTACAAATGATATAATTTTATATCGATTGCTGAAAACAATTCTTCCTCTTGATTATTTGTGGAGCCATATTGGCTTAAATTGACTCCTTTTGATTATGCATTGGTACGACTCTTCTTGGTTAATAGATTCAAATCCCTATTTCTTTATGCTCATTTGATGACATGGCTTTCTTCTTCTTTCTTAGAAAAAAATGGTTAAAATATTTACTTTATCAAGTATTGTTGAACAGACTTTCGACAATATTTTATATTAAATTCAATCGCAAAATTTTGGTCAACTTTAATGATAAGTATATTGATCATAAAGAAACAAATAGTTTATAGGTTGAAGAAGTAAACCAATCAACCTAAGTGCAAACCGGGGTGAATTTGAATTAGATAAGAATTGTTTGTAATGATTTCAAATTTGTTCGATTTATAGCAAAACTTGAATCACAAAAATGGAAAATTGATAAGTTTTTAGTCATGATGGAATTTAATAATTGCAAAAAAAAAAGGTGGATTTGTATGGTTTACGTATGAACAACAATTTGTTAAAAGTGATGCAATGCTTATGACGGGATATTGAGACCTTAAAAGTTAGTAACGCAAAATCGAGGCAATTCTATTAAATACCACAAACATGACACAAACTCGCGACAAAAATAAAAACGTGTCGAAAATTAACGACACTTTAAGTGAGTGCAGCAAAGAAACGACGTTAATTTGCGGTAGAAAAATTTAATGTCGTAAATTAGTGGCATTTTTATCGTATGACGCCGTAGCGCCACAAATATGCTACAAATAGAAAAAAATGACGCTAATTTGCGACACTTCTCTGCGACACCACTTTTAAATGTGACGCCAAAAGCTATTTTTCTTGTAGTGCTTGGACAACATCGTCATCTATAGTAACACAATAAAGGAGCATGTGGAGCATCTTAGAGCCGTATTCCAAGTCCTTAGGGAAAACCAGCTCTATGTTAAGAGGGAGAAATGTTCCTTCGGCCTTGAAGAGGTATCGTTCTTGGGACACATCATTTGTGGGGGCCAAATCCGCATGGATCCGGCCAAAATCAAAGCTATCGTGGAGTGGGAGGCACCCACAAAGCCAACAGAGCTGAGATCATTCTTAGGGCTTGTTAATTACTATCGGCGATTCATTGAAGGGCACTCCACCATAGCCGCTCCATTAACGGATCTCTTGAAAAAGGGGCAAGCTTGGTGTTGGACACCAAAACACCAAACAACGTTCGAGGCTTTAAAGGACGCCGTCACTCGAGAGCTAGTCCTAGCTCTCCCTGATTTTGAGAAACCGTTCGTGGTGTGCACGGACGCTTCGGACTTCGCCATTGTGGGCGTTCTCATGCAAGATGGTCACCCGATCGCCTTTGAAAGTCGTAAGTTGAACGAAACCGAGAAAAGGTGGCCGACGCACAAGAAGGAGATGTTGGCTATAGTTCACTGCCTTAGAGTTTGGGAGCATTATTTGAAGGCCGCCACACCGTTAAAGATCAAGACGGACAATCGGGCAGTGAGCTACCATCAAAGCCAACCTAAGCTTTCAAGCAAGCAAGTGCGTTGGTTGGACTTTTTGGCCGAGTTTAAATACGAGCTTGAGTATAGCCCGGGGAAGACTAACCACGTGGCCGACACCCTAAGCCGAAAGGCGTGTCTTGCACCAATCGTTAGCATACCCGAGAGGACGCTGGTTGATCGCATCAAGAAGGGTCTTGAGCACGACCGTCAAGCCCAAAGGTTCATGGAGCTCGTGAAGGAAGGCAAGACAACGCGGTTCTGGCTTGAGGATGGGATACTTTATGCCAAGGGGAACCGTTTGTACGTGCCCGCATCGGATGGACTTAGAAGGGAGATTCTAAGGGATTGCCATGATAGCCGTTATGCGGGTCACCCAGGTACGCATCGCACACTTGCCTTAGTACATGAACGGTTCTATTGGCCTCGCATGCGGGAAGACGTGGAGACATATGTAAGGACTTGTCTAGTTTGCCAACAAGACAAGACCAAGCAAGACCACCCGCATGGCTTGTTATCACCCTTGCCTATCTCGGAACACCCATGGGATAGCGTTTCGATGGATTTCATCGTGAGCCTGCCCGTTTCCGAGGCTTGCACCAACATACTTGTTGTGGTAGACCGTTTGTCTAAGTATGGGGTCTTCATACCCACCCCAAAAGAGTGCACCGCGGAGATAATGGTCAAACTCTTTCTTAGGCATGTGGTGAAGTATTGGGGGCTGCCTACATCGATCATAAGCGACAGGGACTCAAGGTTCACCGGCCGTTTTTGGCAAGAACTCTTTCGTTTGCTTGGGACGGAGCTCAAGATGTCTACATCTTTGCACCCGCAAACGGATGGGCAGACGGAGCGCATCAACGGCCTCTTGGAGGTGTACCTTAGGCGCATCACCGGCCAACCAGAAAGATTGGGTACGTTTGCTAGACGTTGCCCAATTTTCCTATAACTTGATGCGGAGTGAGAGCACGGGCAAAAGTCCGTTTGAGATTGTCCTTGGTTTCCAACCGACTACGCCTAAGGATATTCTTGGGGGCTACAAGGGCAATAGCCCACCCGCATACAAGTTTGCCAAAGATTAGCAAGAACGGGCCGACGAGGCAAAACTCTACTTGGAGAAGTCGGCCGCGCGCATGAAGAAATGGGCGGATAGGAAACGGACCCGTCGCGAGTTTGAAGAACGCGATCAAGTCTTGGTGAAGCTTTATGAGCATGGACGGAGCCGTGGTCTACACAAGGGTCTCATGCGCAGATACGAGGGTCCTTTCACCGTTCTTAAGAAAGTGGGTTCGGTTACTTACAAGCTAGAACTACCCGAGGCCTTTTCAAGACTTCATCCAGTATTTCATTTGATCCTACTTAAGCCATACCGCAAGGACCCAGAGGACGAAAAACGGAACATTTCCTCACGGGCACCAGCTGGCGTACGCGAGCACGAGGAACGGACCACAGAGGACATCCTTTCTAAGAGGATCGTTCGAGGCAAGAGCGGGGCAACGACTAAAGAATACTTGCCAATGAGTGAGACGAGTTGGGAGCCAATCGAGAAGCTTTGGCAATTCACCAAATTGATCGAGGACTTTGAGGAGAATCGTGCACCCATTCCTATCAACATTGCCTTCGAGACTTAGGTGCATCGGGATGATGCACCGTTTTGGTTGGGGAGGATGTCACGGACAGTTTTTCTTCCCCACAAATTCGGGTGGTTTGCTGCGAAACAGGCTATTTTCATAGACGGACATGGGACGGAACGGTCTAGAGCCTTGTGGAATTCTCTGGTCAAATCTTGAAGACTCTGGAATTCTCTAGAGAGGCCTGGAACTCTCTAGAAACGGGTGGAACCGTGTGGAAGCTACCCGAGTTTGCTAGAACCGTGTGGAGGATTCTAGAGACTTGTAGATATTTTGGACTTAGAATATTTTATGGTAGGAATTCTCTAGAATTTCATTATTTTATTATGTACATAGAATTCTCTAGAATTCTTTGGGACTTGGGGTTTGCCTATAAATACCCCATGCCCCCTTCATTTGTAATCCATCCAAGCTTTAAGTAGAGTTCTCAAGCATTCCTTAAGCTCTCTTGTGCCTTCATCGTTCTTTGACTTTCAACCTTTCTTAAGTTTTTCTTTGCCTCCGTTCTTTAAAGCCTTGCCTAGCTTTGCACGCTTTGGGGGTCTTAAGGCTGAGCTAGCACTTGATCGTTAGTTGTTTTGTGCTAGTGCCGCACGACCGTTACTTTGGAAAAGTAAGCTCGTGACACTCGGACATAGGGGCGTCTTCGGACATAGAGGCGTCCTCGGACTGAAATGGCGTCCTCGGACTGAGATGGCGTCCTCGGACATAGAGGCATCCTCGGACATGTAGGCGTCCTCGGACTGAAATGACGTCCTCGGACTGAGATGGCGTCCTCGGACATAAAGGCGTCCTCGGACATGTGGGCGTCCTCGGACTGAAATGGCGTCCTCGGACTGAGATGGCGTCCTCGGACATGGGGGCGTCTTCGGACATAGAGGCGTCCTTGGACATGTGGGCGTCCTCGGACATAGAGGCATCCTCGGACATGTGGGCGTCCTCGGACTGAAATGGCGTCCTCGGACTGAGACGGCGTCCTCGGACTGAAATGGCGTCCTCGGACTGAGATGGCGTCCTCAGATATAGAGGCATCTTCGGAC